TGGTATATCATAACGGATATATTAGAACCAACCCAGATAAATCATGTTTCAGAAAAATTCCATGTTCCTCTGAAAATATCTGTGTTGTCTAACACAAATTTGTCCCTGCCTTAAAGTGTAAGGGATTAGAAGAATTGTTTTGGGCTAGTATTCATATATAAGCTTCATCCACCCAACTTTTCATCAGTAACTTGGTGTTTCGTTATTTCCTGCAAATCACATACATTTTTAGTAACTGCATTCGCTTGTCGAAATATTCCCTTTTGAAAGCATTACAAAGAAATCTGTCGTCCGTTAATAACAGTATATTCCTTACTTTTATCTGGTGTTTAAAATGCAAAACTGTCAGGTAGCTAGCAATTTCCTATCGAAGGTGGAATATTTTTTTTGCTACGTCTGTGATAATTTCGATAAAAAGGCTAATCGGGATATGTAGCATAGTTAGAACTTTCACAAGCTGATAGTTATTAATATTTGTGTTGGGGTGAGCAAGGGCAGTTACAGTTGTGTAGTTTTTATGAAGAAAACGGCGACACGCAACGATTTCTTTTATAGAAAGATATTGCGGAGGAGAGAATTATGGGAAGGAAGCAAAAAGCTATAAAATTCCTCCGAAAATAGGCGTCGGTGTCATTTTTTTCTTGTTCGTAAAACATCGCGAGAGTGGAAGAATTAAGAGAAGGTTGAGAGAAGAAAAAGATTTAAGAGAGGGACGAGAGTGATCAGATCCTAAGAGAATTAATTTTTTTTTAACCACAAGCTATTTCGGCATCATGGAGTCTGGAATGGTGAGACTTGGTAGAGATGTGACACTACCGTTTAGCGGAGAAGGTGATATAGTCACTTGGATAAAGAAAGTGAAACTGATCACCAAGCTTCAAAATGTACAAGACCTTGCTAGTTTCCTTCCACTTTTTTCTGCAAGGTGATGTGCTTCTTCTCTACCTTGAAATAAGTGACGAGGACCAGTTGGAGGAAGACATGATAGAGACCAGACTGAAGAAAGCGTTCACTGAAGGGCCCTTTGAAGCTTATGAGAAGCTCAAGAGAGTGAAATGGACTGGGGAATTAGTGGAGGTCTACGCCAGTAATATCAAAAGTATGGCAGGACTGACAGGATATATAGGGAGAGAACTGAATCAAACGGTGACACAGGCTTTCATCACGGGCATCCCAGATGATGTATCTGTGGCGCTGCAACAAGTGCCTTCTGTAGAAAATATTGACCTCTGCGAGATGATACCAGCCTCAAGGTTACTGGTCAGCAAAAGACATCGAGAACCCAGAACAATGTCAGCGATTGCACAAAGCACGGGACCAAAAGAAAACGAAGGCTATATGGAATCAAGTGTTAGGTGCTATAGATGTCGGAAATCTCAACTAATTAGAGACTGAAAGGAGCCACTGAAAATGAAATTAATGTTACAATTGCGAGAGATTGGGGCATATTGCGAGATATTGCTCTCAGGGTCAGTGAAACGAGCTCACCAAAACATAGGCGCACTACCGATCTCTGCCAATCATGGAAGTGTTAGTGAGCGATGTGATAGTGGCATCTCTTGTTAATACCGGCTACACAACCACTTTACTTAATTCCAAGCTTGTAAGAATATAGAGTGGGAGTGGCGCTGTAAAAGCAGTTAACGAAAGCGAGGTAAAATGTAAAGGATCTCGGCAAGGAGATAAAAGTCGGTGGAACGAAGATAAAAACGAAGGCATTTATCGTTGATCACATCAATGACGGGATCGAGATTGTTGTCGGAAAAGATGTGATCAATTAGCTAGTAGGTGTGACTATAAAAGAAATGCCGAAGTGAAGTTTAGAAAAATGCATTGTACCGCATCTGCCCAAGTTTCGAACTTCACAGCAGAGTTCGATGGAAAGAAATGGAATGTGGAATGGAATTGGATAGAAGAGTCCCCAGTATTAATAAACAAGATTGAGTACTACAAGAATTCATTGAAAGAAGAAAAAAGTAGAGTTTGTTCTCTTGCCGTGGAAGGGTGAGTGTTACCGTTGAAGGCAGTAGTCCAACCTACAAAATGAAAAATCAGGTCAGCATTAGACTTTCAAAAGTTGAACCATTATATAGAGTGCCATGCTGGAAGCGACATAACCTATGTGCATGATGAGAAAGTAAAGGCGGTTGGCGGGAGGAACTACAATTGTGGATCTTAAGTCGGCCTACCTACAGTTACAGGTCGCAGAGAAACTATGGCAGTACCAGCTGGTGTGCTATAAGATGAAAACTTATTGCCTGACTCGGTTGGGGTTCGGATTCACTGCTTCATTAAAAAGTATAGCAGTGGTTCTAAAAACTGTGCTGATGAAGGGCAATAAGACAAAAGAAGTCAGTGATTGATAAATGTAACAACAAGGTATCGACAGAGGAAGTGGTAGATCATCTTAAGGAATTCAGCTTGACAGCAAAGCCAGGACCCTTAGGAGGGGCAGCACTGGGCCTTAAACTGAAGAAAGGAAAAGTGGGTGAACTTGTGTTTGGATGGGGCCACGAGGTATCCCAGGGGACAGGACAGATGAATAGACGGGATCTATGGATCTAGGTCTGTGGAAAGCAGTTGGCGATGGCAGCGACCGGCATGAAGCTACGTGAAAAAATGAGCAAGTAGGATAGACTGGGAATGTAATGATGATAAAACTGTTTTGATGCACGAGATCTTAGCTGAGGTAAAGAAAGAGGATCTTGTGACCGGGACTTGACACATCTCTAAAACGAAAACGGGAATAATATGGCGCGATGCGAGTAGTAATGCTACGAACATAGCCGTAGAGATTGGCGGTTTGGTAGTGGAAGATGCAGCCTGGCTGCGAAAAAAGGACAACTATAACCGCATCAATATGGCAGAATTGCTAAAAGGCGTTAATTTGGTTTTAAAGTGGGGGTTAAGAGAGGTGGAAGTAAGGACTGATTTAGCCACAGTACTAAGTTGGGTCAACTTTATTGTAGAGCAAGACAATACGTACAAAAGGTGCTGGAGAAATGATAGTAAAGCGGATATTAAGAATACTGGTAATAATGATATCCGAATTTGGATTACAAATGAAATCAGCATTTGTGTCTTCGAAAAGACATAAGACGGATGCATTAACTCGAGTAAACAAAAAGTGGTTGGTCGTCAATAAGGAGGAAGAGGCTCCAATATGCTGTCTAGGGACACGAGAACTAGAAGAGTTGCATGGTATGCATCATATAGGAGTGGACAGGACTCTATATTTGGTGTGAAAAGCAGACATGCTTGTAAAAAGGGATTAAGTCAAGAAAGTGGACAAGAACTGCATTAGATGTCAATCAATTGAACGTGCATGATCCTGGTGAGATTGGAACGACAATTACACGAGGTTAGCTGTCAATATAACACGTTATCGCGGAGGTACGTACTTTTCGATGATTGTCTGTGGACCCGGGCGCCTAGCGATATGGAGAGAATTGCGCGCGGAAACGGCAGCTGTCGTTGCAGAAGTGAAGGTGATTCTTGAACAAGGTCCAGTAGTTGAGGTGTAATGGACAATGACACGGTTTTCCGCTCGGAACTCCAAGTGATGCTTGAAAAATGTTAAATAAGATACTACAGAGCAGCGTACAAGCCAGTGGGGAAGTGGAATAGTAGAGCGACACCATCGGACGGTGCAAGAAAGAACCAATAGAGGAGGGATATCGCTTGTAAAAGCAACGTTTTGGCACAACATGGCACCTAAGGCTAGACAGAGAAAGAAGCCGGTACCGCAAATGTCAATTTTCACCTACTAGTGGAGGCACCTGAAATACCGATGAGGAAGGGCCGGCCAGAATCCAAATAGTAAGGACGTTTGGGTGAGGCCACCAAACGCATCGTGCACGACGTAGTGGGAGTAAAGTGGGTGGTGATTGGAGTGCAATGACCTAACAACCTGACCATCGAGGATACGATGCGGCATATTTTGGATTTATGGCGAGTGGTCCGTGCAGACAATGAGGATGAGGATGTGAATGCTGAACATGGAGGAGACAGAAATGAAACGGTACAATCTCAAAGACCGCAGAGAGAACGCAAAGCGCCGGCATGGGCACGCGACTATGTGGTGTGAAATGATCTTTTAGGATCATGGGGACCGGTAGTTTTAATGAAGGAAGGGAATGGAATGGAATGGAATGAAATGTCTCTTACCTCGTATTAGGGTTGGGGAGAAGGATGTTGCGACAGGTTGCGGTTTCTTTTATAGAAAAATATTTTGCGGAAGGAGAGAATTATGGGAAGGAAGCAAAAAACTATAAAATTCCTCCGAAAATAGGAGTCGGTATCTTTTTTTCTTGTTCGTATCGTACGAGAAAGGTCGCTAGAGAGGAAAAGAGGAAGATTTAAGAGAAGTGCGAGAAAAGAAGAAAAAAGATTTAACAGAGGGACAATAGTGATCAGATCCTAGTAGGATATTTTTTTTAACCACAACTTGATAAAATCTTTTTTTTATAGTTTCAAACGATTTCATCTCTTTAGTGTTACTGTTAAATTTTTCGATTTTAGGTTCACGCTTATGCATTCAGTAAGTGATATAAAACCATATCACGTGGAACGAGCTTCCAATAGAAATTGGTCATTTCATTGAATCGACGTAATGATTTTAGGACAAGCAGAGAAGGGAAAGAGACGGAAGGAAACAAAAACCTCACTCTCAGAAATCACAGCACAGTGAGCGGCACACAACTTGAGGAATAAAGGTACCGACTTCGCAAGACTTGTTGACAAAAACCTGGATCTAGACAAGTTGCAGAGAGGTCCTTATCTGAACATGTCAAACTGTTCTGTTGCTAACGTGGAAAAACACGGATGTAACTCATTTTGATAGAAATCTCTGAACGCAATCCAGGACCACTTTTTCGTCTGTACTGACGCGCGTTCGCCATAAGGTCTCTCGCTTCTCATAGACTCGCGATTATACATACTGGTTGTGAAAGCTTACTGGTTGGTTAGTCGAACTATCTATTTTTAGAGATGGTGAAATTTTGGTCTACTTACTACTTGTTTTTTTTTTTTTCTTTCATCCTGCTTGTGAAAACCTTTTGACTGGTTGGTCGAACTATAACTTTGTTTGCCTGGTGATTTTATACATTTATTTTTAAAGATGGGAAACTTATTTTATTTCTTATTATTTATTTCTATATCACCACAGTCTTTCTGTATCTGGAGCTTGTATATTGATTTACATAGTTTTGCGAAATGTTTTCCTCTTGTGGAGTGTTTCACCTGTTACCACAACGTGGAAATTGAAGTTCCGTTGATTCAGTTTGTGATATATCCATTTTTGTTTCTGTGCTCCTGTGGTTTCTAGTAACGTTGCTGGCTGTTTTCCTTTGAACACATGGAAACGCTTCTATGTGCACGGTTATTTAACCCTTCACTCTTCATCATTTTGAGTTGGTTTATATTGCTTTGTACAGTGTTAACTCTAGTTCCACATGAGTTTGTCAAGTGTCACTTTCGAATTTATGCTGAATACTGTTCATTCTTTGACATAGGTCTTGATAGTTGCAGTCTTTGATTAGCGTTTTTCCTTGTCTTAAGGGAATGTAAATAAATAAATATTATAATCATCTAGGTTTTTTACATGTTCTTTTGAAAAAGTGTATTTTAAAGAAAACTAGATGTGTGAAAATTTCTATTTAAAGTTAAAGAACTTCCAAAATTATTCATGAATTGTTGCGGATTCACGCTTTTTGAATTTGAAAAATATATTTTATTGTATGTACTGACCAATCAGTCGTGGTCTCATGTTCTTGTAAAACTTGGAATTGAGTCGGGTCAGCGGATATGATCAGAAAGCACTCGGACTGTTACGAAGGAGGCCGGCTATCTTCAGAGAGCGGACAGGTTTTTGGCGTTTACATGTGAAAGTCATTAACCACTGTCAGGAGAACAAAAGGCTTCGGCTTTCGCAAGGATAACACCTTGCTTTCTCGTTTTTTGTTTGTTTTTTTTTTTTTTCCAAAAAGTAATTTTTTAGTGAAAATCTTTGCTACATTTTGTATTTATGTGTGTGTTAAGAATTTCCAACAGAGCAGTTTATTCAAATCACATAAGATTGTTCTCTTTCTGCTTTCCATAGTTAAGGAATATACTTCGTATCAGTTAATATTCACCAGTTTTATTCACCTTTGTGTCACTTGTCTTTTTCTTCCTCTTACTTAACCAGAGAATATGATACTTATCGAGCACTACCAGACCAAGGAATTGAACTCACAATTGCTCTTAATATAGTGGACGGCATTTGAACTTTGTTAATGTAGAAATTGTGCAGTAAGCTATTTAAAAATATCAACTAATTACTTAAAAAGTAAAAACTAAATAAATTATAGCATGCTGTATTTATATTTGATATCTACTGTCAGTAACATGTAGACTGTAGTCCATGTACACTGTACTTCCACAAGTTTTAATTATACTCTTTCCATTTACTTTTTTGAAAATTCGCACGATGGTACGATATTCATTTCTAGTTGCAAAGTGGTCCTTCTCCGATTTGGGTAGATAGGCTCATTTATATTGAATTCTACCCATTCGTTTAACTCTGTTGAACTCCTTTTGAATATCAATGGCTAGGGGAAGAAAGAGAAACAATATTGACCGGTGCTATTTGACATTTATTTTGATTTGTACAAAAGTCTTTTGCTTTTTCCTCTTTACGCTGGTTTACTTTGTGAAGACAGCGACTGGAGTGAATGAAGATAGTAGCAAACTTGTATCTTTTTTATGTCGCTCGTGAGGGAGCTGAAAACAACGAAATGAAAACAGTAGTTTCACTGTTACGTGCTAACTACTTGAAACGCCAAGCGAGGCTTAAATTTAGTATCTGTAATAAAGGCGTAACTTTCGTGAATACTTTCGATTATTTTTTAATTCCAAAATATTCTTATTAGTTTCGATCGGTTAGCTATACAGATTCCCTTCCTGCCAAGTTTTCGGTTCTCAGTTATATTACCTTATGTCTTAAACGATTTCTCTATTACCAAATATGGCCCAAAATATGGACCCTTTCGACTGTACGGTTACTTACTATCGCGAATTCCACATTTCTTTATCTATTTCCTTACTAAGTACACAACACAATGGATCCCCTTTTAATTGGCTCAGAAAACACACGGTCAAGTGGGCTGTATATGAGCCGGAAGTGCCAGCAGGTTTATGACTGCATATGCAGTAAAATAAAGTGAAATCTTCAAACATCCAGAGACGCCCACAGGTAGAAAAAAGGGAAGAAATAAAAACTTTAAGGGCCACTCGACAGGAAAGTACAGAATTTTGATTGTGGAATTCATGAGGTGTCTGTCATCGTATTCCGTAACCATTTCGCAATTCCTAACCGAAACTTTTATTGAGTTCACGAGGGTAGATTGTTCTCATCTGCTAAATGTGGAAGGTAGCGATTGTTTGGTTCTTCTGAACAACAAAAGTATATAAACTTTTCAGCACTACACAGTAGAGGGATTGAACCCATAACAGCCAGAGAATGTCTTCTCTTAACTAACGCGCTTTAAGCCACATGACCACATGTTCCTTGAACCATCTAGTAGATTAATTTTATAACCTTTAATTTAGTATCTGTAATAAAGTGGTAGAATATTTTAATATCCTTTCGTTCTTGATCAGCAGTCTCCCAGAAGGTATTCATCACTAGGCAAAGTCTCCAGAGGAGGTTGTCAAAGCCCAACATGTGCGCTGATTTTTTTTTTTTCTGTTGTCTTATTCTCCATTCTGTTATAAGTTGATTTACATTCATACTGCGTCAGCCATACTTGATTTCAGTGTGCCTCCCCAGATACAACCTTTTCACGTTCCTCTGCTTTTACTTTAGGGAAAGGCTAATTTAAACCTTGTATCCTTTGCATACAGCTGTATAAGATGGAATAGTTTTTGCTCCTGTACTCTTCCGATATTTTGTTGGGGAAAGGCTTCAAGTGAGATATATACGAAGGATTGAACTGCTTTTGAATAGTCCTGATGTTACAAAAAATCCTCTAAATATTTTCGGATATAATACTAATTAATGTTAACCAGACCGTAGAGTATTTTTTTGTTGTCCTCAGTTCCCTGTATATGGAGCTGCTGTTATGTTTGCAGGATATTTGTACCCTGAAAAACGTTGATCGTCTCCTGTTGCTATCCTTTTCCAAATATTCTAATTGAAGTTTAGGTATTTTCTGATGAATGTTGACTTACGATATAAGAATAACTTGTACAGTATCTGAGTTCAAGACATCCATGTAAGTACCCAAAGGCAAATAAACTAGCGACAATTAATTGATGCAAGGTATTCCCTAAGCAGGGAAAGTGGAATGAGAACAAGTTACTCACGTGGATTAAACAAAAGGTTTAGAGTACGACAAACACCTGAAGAAGGCCGGAAGGTACAACGACCGAAAGGTTGTTTTCATAACAACCAAGATATATAATACTTTACGTGAGTGTGTGTGAGTGAGTGAGTGAGAGATAAGTAAATCAGGTGTTCAGACACATTCAGAATGAAAGCTACGTATGTAAATTGATGTTCAGAGATTTGCATATTTGGAACGGTGCATAAAACATTCAGTGAGAAAGAGAAAAACAAGTTTTTGTTCTTTGACTCTGTGGGTAAAATGATTTTCACATTCTCGGGAATCTTTTTCCTTTATCATCAAGGACAGATTAAGAAAATTAACGAAAAGCAAAATAAATTACACACATTCATTAGCATTCTTACATTATTTCTTTTGCAAACATTTGAATACTTTTAAAATAATCATTTGGTGTCAATATTGCGTGATGGTAGCATGCTCATCTCCAAGACAAATTCGCTAGCCTAGTTCGAGTATCACCGAGCGTCAAATTACTGCGACATGCTGAATAAATACTTTTCGCTAGTATCGTTTGTAAGCTAAGCACAGTTACATTCCCCAATAGTGGTGCCAGTCTTCGTTGTTCGAGCCGACGTAAAAAAAAAAAAAAAAATTAAGCTTTCGTATTGATTTCAATACGGTTATCAATACTGGTTATCACACTTAACAAACTGGTACAACATTGTACATTGAAAAGAAACACTTTAAGTACATGTTCGCCCAGTATTTGACGAAAAACTCTTAGACCAGTGTTTCACGACGAGATAATGGAAAAGTATGATTTCAACAAGAGATCCACATTCTCTTAGTCTTTTTTGTATCGGTTTTTAAAACAAGGTTTTTAGCGCACTAAACTAAAAAAAATTCTGTTTTACTTATTTTCATAAAATTTAGATCGTTTTTTCTTTGCATGTTTTTAAACGATCTTAAAATGTTTACCCAGTACCACTCTTCCCCACTAATGAACTAAAAGAACAGATAAAAAATAAATAAATGTTAATTGTTAAACAGAACAAATTCTCTTCTGGCGAATTCATTTTCCGCACCTTCCTCCCCTACGCCTTAATTTTAATTTTTGATTATGGTATTCGTTCCTTTAATTTTTATTCTTTCTTTCTTTTTTAACAAATAGCAGCATATGTTACTCGATAAAGATTTTAAAAAAAAAAAAAAAAAAAAAAGGCTAAGTTCGTTGCTTTCATTTTTACCGACATTACTTTTTTTTTTTAGGTTTTTATTGCTTTGTTCAATATTACTTTTTTTTTCCTTCTCGGTTACATATTTTCTTATCAAAAGTTCAGCACAACAAAATAGTTTTCTTTCGTTTTTTTCCCTTCTGAACCTAACGCTTGTACAGTAAAGGTAGTAGACTTCGTCTTTAAAACCTACCTGTTCATGTTTATTAATCTTTCTGCCTCTCTTGCCTCATAACCAGTAGTGAAATCATGAGACGGACATGAATAACTGCGTTTCGCTTCACTGAACTGAACACGTACTTTTTTCTCCCTTGTTATACTTGTTTCTTTTTAGTTCAACAGTATGATTATTGCTTCTTCCTTCTTGTGTCATGTCCAATCGTCGATCAGAAAAGCTACGGTCACAGTTGTTAGATTATAATCTTTCTTTTTTTTTCATTTTTCTCACTAATCTCAAACAAAACAGAAGCAAATTACTCAATCTTTTCATAACACAAGTGACTCGGATTTTACCTGATTTACAGTTAACTCTACGATTAAGAAGGCTATCATTTTTCTTGTGCTGAGTTATGGCTCGTAATCGGAACATTAGATCGCCTCTTGCCGAACAAGCAATGTCTACATTTTCTTCTTCTTCACCTGGCCGATTACATTTTTTGGATTATAATCCACCACCAGTGAGTCCAGAATATCGAGGAAATCCAAATGATGGGCATTATAATTTGGGATTCGTTCCTGAAACTTCTCAACATCAAGATTTAACAAACAATATGACCAACTGGGGTCGTTATCCCACCCAAGGGAGTAGACCCCCGTTTCAACAACTCTCGAAAAGGTCAAGGAGAAAAACGATGAAGGAGAATCTAGAAGAACTAGAAGCATCAAATGCATCACCTGTACAAATTGTAGAACAAATGAGGTAATTATTAAATTAAGTTATTCTTATTTTTGTTATAGGTTATGGCGCGGGGGAAGTACATTTTATTTATTTCTCCTTTACAACTGAAATGTTATCAGGAATAGAGAGAAGGAAAAAAAAAATCTGAAAAACAAACAAGAAAAACCTTTGGTTTATGAAATGAATCTATTTATTTTATCACTATGACCATCACACATTGTATGGATAGTAGAACTAGAAACTGTCTACTGAACTTAAAGAGGTTAGTTTTATTATTATTATTATTTTGATGATTCATTGTCTCCAACATATCAAGTTAAAAACCTGGGGCGCCTGCGTTATAAAAAAAAAATCGAGTTTTTTATGGTACTCTTGGGTTAAATTAATTTTAGAAGAAAAACATAACTTTTGTAAAAACAATGATTTTTTTTTTTTTAAATCTTAACAATAAACACAATTTAAGTCGTCAGTCAATAACACATAAGAAAAATGAAAAACACTCCTTCAAATCTTGAAAGGAAAATGATTAAGCTTTACTTTTTTTTTTTCAAATCTAATAAAAACATTTTCGGTTCAACAAACATGACATTTAAATGTTTTAAACTTTATTTTTTGATTGATCGTCTAAAGCAAAGAAAATATGAAAGAAAATAAGTAACACATGAAATTCATAAGTATTTCTTCTGAAATAGAACATTCCTTTTGTAGCCTCTAACAAAAAAAATAGTCATGGTGTAAAAATATTTAGTTATTAAGACAAATTTGTGTGTTAAAAAAAAAATTGAAGCCTTGAAAGAGAAATAAAAATTTACTTCAGCTCTGATTTCTTTCTAGCTAGAAAATATCAATGATGAGGGTGTATTCCTCTAGTTTCACTCTCAACTCTCTCCAGTTTCAAAATGACTGAAGTAATACAATGACTTTTCTCGTTTCTGAAGTTTAAAAAAAAATCATTCTCAATTTAAACTGGATTCTAAATTTGTGGTACAGTGTAACCCGGATATAAGAGAGTTGTCGGGACCGGAGAAGTCGTCTCATATCCGGGTTTCTCTTATATAACACAGGCTCTAATTTGGAACCTGAGAAAATCTCTTATATCCGGGTTACACTGTATAATAAAATATTATTTATGTAAAAAGAAATTGATTTTTTTTTTCATTTTCTATATTTACAAAAAAAAATAAAAAAAATGGATGAATTACCAGTTTTAGGAAAATAACAACGATGCAGTATGGATTTTCTAGGAGTTCTTCTTGTCATTAAAAAAATAATCAATCAACAACAATACGAAAAACAAAAATTTTTTTTTTTACATACAAGGAGTGGACTTACAATTTTTCTCTTTTTTTGCTGTCTACAATGAATCAATTAGTGAGGAAAGCTTTGTCTAGATAATTGAATCGTTATCGATTTCAAATTTGTCCTTAGTTGTGGGGAAAAATTCTTTGTTGTCAAAGCTATTTTGAAGTCTTTCTCCTTTTCTGTTAATATTTAGTGGTTCATTTACTTTAAATGTTTAATTAAATTTGGTTCAATTAAAAAAAGATTATATGTAAAATAAAGTATTTATTATAGCTAATAATTTTCTTTGTCTAAAACTTTCAAAACCTTATCAAGAACTCCTGAAGATACTGAATTTTTTTATCTTTTCCAAAAATTGGTAATTCATACATTTTTAATAATATAGAAAATGAAGAAAAATCGATTTTGTCATTTTAATAATCCCCAATTTCCTAGTTCTGTCAAAGATTTTCTCATATCTAAATCTTCTTGTATAAGAATTCTAGATATTTTATTAAAAAAGAAGAAAATATATTAAAATATTAATACCCTTCTAACAAGTCATGAGATTGATTTATCTTGAATTAAAAATTCACAATGAGAATCTGTGTTAGAGCACATTAATTCAAATTAGAGGTGACAATAGGTCCTTTGGTGCTAGATCTAGCTCTTTTTTTCAATATATCTAGTTTGTTTGCTTATGACCTAATAAACATTGATGTAAAATTAAAAACTAATTATATTTCAGTTTAGTCTTTGTTCTATTGTCACTATTTTTTTGAGTGGTTACAAATGAAAAATAAATGGGGGAGAAATTAATATGGAATCCATTTTTAATAAATGTCATGGTCCTAGAATATTTAAAATAAGTAAAGTTTCAGGGAAAAAAATGTTCAGAAGTTTATATAGCTGCAAATGGAAGCATTTAAAAGTGTTTGTGTGAAATTCCTGCTGATTTTACAAGAGAGCATTGTAGGTTTTACAGGTGAGGTGTGATATTATTATTGCAAAATATTTTATATTGGGTAAATACTGCAGAACAAAAAAAAAAACAAATATGCTGCTCTTTATAATGAAATACCAATTTCATTTCATTTCAATTGTATATTTGTTACCATTTCTCATTAACAAATTGGAAGAAGTTTATGTAAGGATGCAATTATCAACACTCCAAAAGTGATAAAGTTGACAATGTGCAAAAAAAAAAAAAAAAAAAAAAAGTCTTAAGTTGTTACTTTATTGCAGAAGGAAAGTTTAGCTTAAGCCTTGATGAATCAAATGATGTTACTGTAAATAAAATTCTTGGAAAAACCCTTGACAGTTGGCACAGATAATATCAGTGTAATGAATGGAGTAAATAACAGTTCAACAGAGTTTGAAGATAAATGTTCCATTTTTAATTCTATTTAACTGCATATGTCATTTATACTCTTCAATTAGTAATTTCTTATGAAAGTAAGATGTATTTGCTCAGGAACTTGAAATTTACTTTGAGAAACCTTCCATTCTTCTACAAGGCATTTATCTTATAAGCAACTATACCAAGTAATTAATGAGGACAAAGCACCACTTAAATTAGTCAATAAGTATATTCTTCAGGAGTATTATAAATTTAGACTGCTATAGACAAGATTTTAAACCAATAGCTAAAATTCAAAATGCATTTTCTGACCATGCATACATCAGAGAAGTGTTATACATCTTAACTTTGAGATGTGTAACAATTAGAAAAACCTGTTTCACTTATTTTATATTTCAGGTTTAGAAAGTTAAAATATGTGACTAACAATGCAGACAAAATGAAAATGTTTCAAAATCTTACCTCCTTGATTACACCAATAAGTCACATATTGATCTTACCAAGTAGTAAAATCAATCCTTTAGTATTTGATAGGATCCAATTATTGAATTCTAAACCAAATCTTGGATACAAATGCAAAAGAAAAATAGCAGAAATGTCTTCTGACAAGAAATTAACTATTGAAGGTGAAAAATAATTCAAAAAGAGATCACAAAAGTTACTTCTGTGTCTTTAATAAGCTAAAGAAGAAACCATGTTTTCAGTAGAGAATGCATTGAAACATCAAATAGTGTATTAATTCTATCTTAGAAGTAATGTGGTTATCTGAGAATGAGGTTACTACTGTTGAATGTCAATATATTTATGTCAGTGGTTAAATATAATAAATACGAGTCTTTTGATCAGAAGTGCACGATTTTGATAATAGTGAAGATGATAACCTATTTAAGGAACTTGCAGAATTTGCAATAAATCATTTTTGTCAAATTCTACCGTTGAAATAGAGGTTATGAACATTGTGAAATCAAAATGAATAATAGGATGCAGCAATCTTATATTTAGTTAGTAGTATTTAAATACGACAACTTAGAAGAAATGCCTTTTAAATTTCTAAATAAAATAAAGTAATTACTTAAATTGGTACTCCTATTTAAAACATAAAAACATGACTCTGCCACACTATCAAGAACACACTTCTAAATATTGTTGTTAACTAAATTGATTGTACTGAATTTTAATTTAATTTTGCTGATTCAAAATTTAAAATAATGACATCAGCAGTCAACCAATAACATGAGATTTACAGTTTTAAGGTCTAACTTTAGTATTTTCCAATTGGATCAAAGCATTGGTTTGTAAATTTGGGAGATTGACACTGGCTAATTGGGAGATTGACGCTGCTTTTTGATGTTCTCCAGCCTTACTTTTAAAGGATAACTGGTTCCACCATTCTATTCTTTGATACAATTGCTAGGGATGAAATACATACAGAACTTGGTCATGTTCTCCTTTGTCTTAGGTTTGGTGCTCAAGAAATTTCATTGTGGGGTTGAGTTGCTTTTCAAGATTACCCACACTGACAGACACTCCAAAAAGTCCAGAAAATACAATGGCTAAAATGTGATGATAATAAAAAAGATGAGGCCATTAGTCTGAGTGTAAATAATGTAATAATTTCTCATTCCAGAAATTCAAACAGAAAAGTAAACTTATTTTGTGAAGAACCTTTCTCTTTATATATGATTTGTTTCTGGGTCCCCTTTTTGTAATTACTACACCCATCCAAAGAACATATACACACACACACACACACATGGTCTGTGCTATTTTCTGATTAAGTTATACATCTTCACCTTGTATACTTGTGTGTGTCTGCCTGTTATTGCAAAAGGAACATTATTTTTTTTATTCTCTCTGAACTTGGCATCCAGTACTTACACCCTTTTCTTGATTTCTATTTTTAAATTGCTTTCATATTTTTTTTATTTGATGCAAAGGACTTAAAATTTTCATCTTCCAATTTCTACAAAGAAAAAAATTTAAACTTTGAACATTAAGTGAAATGTGTAAAATTTTCCAAGATCAACTCATTAGTTTATATTTAGCCTCTTCCTTCATCAGTTTCTCTGCATGGGATTAAGTATTAACAATATAATAATATAATTCCCACATTCCATTTCTTGAGCAAAAGGGATTTGTGATTGTAATATGCAAAGCAAATAATTTTTTTTTCATTCCAATAGTGGTAGCAAAATCTTAAATGTCCAAAGTTGATAAAATAATTTCTGCTCTCCTCTCAATATTTTTGAAATATTTTTCCACCAAGATTTGCAATTCTCTGTCCATTTTTTTTATTTTTTTTTATTTTTTTAAATAGCTGTTGATATTTTACCAACCACTGGAGATAGACTTTAATTCATTTCCAATATTCAGTAGTTAC